GGGGATTTGGGATAATGGGGGTGGAGGGGGGAAAGGTGGGGGAGGAGGGTTCTTGGGAGGAGGCAGGTTCCTGTTCCTATTTACCGAGGAACCCCACTAAATCACGTGGGTAAACAAATGTATGATATCTGTATATCTAGGATATTAGACATGCCTTGCTAGGGTTCATGGTTTTTTAGCATTGGGTTGGAACAGCTTCCAGCAAGTGTGAATGAAAGGGTATTGTTGAGTTGGCAAATTGCAAAGTCTCTGTCAGATGGAAACGCTTCTTCTTTTAGAAACCTTTTCTCTGAGATGGGGGAAAAAGAGTTGAAGTGTCACAGCAAAAGTGAGGTTTTTTTCTCGAGGATGATATCATAAAGGGGTTTTCTGTTTTCTCTCAACTTTACCAGTACTTAGAACCTCCTTTGAACCAACCAGGAGTTGATGTTAATTCTGAGGGTGGGTGATGTGAACAACTCGTACCATTGTTAAATTTAACTTTGGCACATGGAGCGGCAACAAGGAGATGCTTAGTGGTTATAAATCTCTTGACCCACACGGATAGCAGAATTAGTATCAACTCTAGAGACCCGAGGTCTAGAGTTTAATTCACAAGCAGCCGACACTAAGAAATAGCCAGGATCTATCTTCTGCAGGGGACGATGAAAGCTGGCATAAAATTAGGAATCCACCCAACCAAATAGTTATAAATACCGGTAAAGCGCCAAAGGATGGATTCAAAGTAGTGAGGCAGGTACTGAGTATCGCCGCCCGTGATGGCTTTGACCCTTTTAATGTTTGGGTAGAGACTGCTCCCGTAGCATTGTGCAGTTCGCAAACGGGATATATAAGATTAGCAAGCGTTAGGGGAAAACCAAGATACTCTATCGACGGTAACCTGCCATTACCAGAAATCAGTCATGCCAATTCAATTGAAAAAGCTTTGGCCTGTAGAACCGTCGGTGGTATGGGGACTGGGAGGGCTTATTCGAAGGGTTTGTGGGGGATGTTTCAATGGGTAAGGATAAAGTTTGTTTTATTGATGATCGGCTTGTACCGGTATTGTACTAGGTCGTGATTGTGCTTATGGTTCGCGTTTTGTCTATTTGAAGACAGGTTTTGACATTCTGTGGCTCGGCCTACGGTCCGAGCCCCCCATACCCCAAGAGCGGCCAAGGCCCAGGTGCTTTGCAGCAGGTGAGAAATAAATTGATGTCCAGAGATAATAGGGTGGATTGTGGTAGCAAGTCCGTGGTACATCCACCGCGCGCACTATGGGCAAATCCCTGGGTATCACAGAGGTTCGTCGTGCGATCCAGTTCATGGGATGGGTAATCTTTCCCGTTTGATGCCTGGGAACCCCCCGGACATCATCCTTTAAAAAGTTCCGAAGTACAGGTTGTAAAAGAAAACAGTAGAAGAAAATAGCTCCCCACCACCGCGCTCCATTTTCGTGTGTTTTGTTTAATCCTCCCAAAGCCAAGCTCGTCTACCTTATGTTGACGTCGTATTTGGCCTTAAACCCCTTAATAGAGTCGGCCTGGTTGATACAATGCGAAGCACCAACTCTTGACTGGCACCTCCTGCGCTTGGCAACACGAAGACCGGGACGGGACCTGAATTCCACCTATCAGTATTTGCCCACACATGGTTTAACCCCCTCACAGACCAACGCTCCTGGATTGACTTCGGCACTCACATAATGCGATAGATGTCCATGCGTAAATACCGATAGCCGGGTCGTATTCGATTCCCGAATCGACCCGCTCGGAGATGCCAAACAGAAGTTGCCAGTCTCAGAGAAGTTCATCTGACGGAGCTCGTACTCCATTACCTTCAACCCACGTTCGATGGGTTCTTCAGCTTTGGGTCTGCGGACATTGACGTGTACCGCAATATTCTCGTTAAGACGGATACCGAGGGTACGGACGGTGTAACGAGCGTTGCTATATGCGAGAGTTTAACCGGAAAGCTGCTCCAACTCCTTGACGGCCCGAGTAAGCCTATCCCTGGATTCTCCGACCCTGATATTTAGAACAGATTGTTTCATTAGCTCCTGGTATTCTTTCATTTCGAGATCGAGTTTCCGGGCTGTGGGTTTTCCGTTGATGACGTGGATGATGATGGGGAAAAACCAAGCTTCTCCATTCGGAGCTCACGCATGGGGTTGGTGTCTTTGGATTTGGTGTCAGCCTTTATTTTTCAATATATTCTTGGCAGTATATCACTTTATTTTCAAATCTAAAGAATTGTGTTGGTTTCGAAGAAACGTAGTTGGGAGGGCAGGAACAAAATTGCGGAACTGACAATTGTGTTTATGATCTGGTGTGCTGATTGTTGGTGGGTGGTATTCAGCGTTAATCGTCTTGTCGTCCGTTAACATTTATCGTTAATTTGCATCAGAGAGTTCCCTCACCTACAATTCTTCACAGTTTGTTGGTGGGGTGCAGCCCTATAGCCACTGGTGGTAGTGCTTGAGATAAGGAGGCTGACTCAATGGTCAGTCAGCTATTTCTGTCTTGCCAAGAATTTGAGCTTGGGTGCCAACATCGACAACAACACCCGCTTTCTGTCTATCCTTCTCGAGAGGCCACCCCACCCTCGCGTGCCTCACAACCTCACGCAACCACCGCGACCAGAGGAACCGCAACCCAAAGGCGGCTTGCCCTACCACGCCAGCAATCACGCCCTCAAAACAGCAACGAAAAATGGTGAGTCTTCTCCTTCACCCTTGTGGCTTCTGGATATGCCTTCGTTGACGCGCAGAAAGAAGCTGATTGAATCTGTGCCAACCTCGTACGTGACTACCAACCCCGTGGGAGAACTGGTCCCAGATAATTGTGATACAACTCCATAATGCTGACGGATGTATAGATCAACTATCGCAAGCCGGTGACAATGACCGATAGCCGCCAGCTAACAGGGACGCTTTTAGCGTTTGACAAGGTGCCTATAAAGAAGCGTTTCATGCCTATGAACTGAGGTAATGGTGTCGCCTAGCACATGAATGTCGTTCTAGCAGATACCAAAGGATTCTGCCCGCATCAAACGAATACCTAAAACTACCGCTCCGGCTGCCAGCACCTTAGGTCAGATCACCGAGGAAAAGCGCACCCTAGGTCTCATCATCTTGCGAGGACTTCACATTGGTTTTTTATCCGTCGAGTCTCCACCCCCAGCGGATCCCTCTTCTCGTTAAGGTACGACTACCGCCGGTGGCCCATCGGCTGCTGGCGTTGCGGCTGCCAGACCGGGCATCAGTAGGCCTGCCGGGAAGGTGCTCACGATCAGTGGTATGGGGGCTCTCCCACCTCCGGAGGGGTTGCCGCCACAGATGGGTGGGCCTGTGGGCTTGCATGGTCTCATGAGAAAGGTGGGTCTTGGAGAGGCCACACTTCCGATTGTTGCCGCTACCCCGCCAGGTGTGTTTCCTGGAGCCCCCTCCCGCTGTTTCAATGTGGAATACCCGGAGAGCATCCCGGATTCCCGCCTCCGCCCGCCTTCCAGGGTGGCCGAGGATTTCCAGCACATCCTCCTGGGTTTGGATGATGGACGGGAGATTGTTTGTGAAGGTTGGGGCCTGGATGCTTTGTCCTGTTATCATCAGGCGTGAAAGCTAGTGGGAAAAGGGTTGACAGGTATTGTATCGAGAATTGAAGATGAAAATGGTGCTGTAATATAATCCTTCAAACGGCGTTATTTCTATACTATCTTACGAAGTCAATGTTATGACCCGATAGGTGAAGAATACTAGACCAAATCATTGGGGAAATATCACAACAAGATAGCGTCAGCGAAGTGTGAGGGATGTGCTATATCATCTACTCTACCGCAACGCTTACCGCATGAGTTCCTGAGCTTACTCACAACTTCTCGTACCCAAAATCCCCCAGCCCAATCTTTCAAAGCTAGAGGCGAATATCTATTGGCTAACAACTGTGACCGAGGAAGGGAGGAAAAGAAACAAAACAAAAACCAAGAAAAACCCTTTTAACCATATACCCCTCAGTCTATCCTTCCCTCTTTGCTGTCAGCGGTGTCGTTCCACTGTGGGAGGCATTGGGGAAATCCTGCTGCCCTTGTCGCTGGGGAGCGTTGGCCCTCGTCCATCCCGTACTGACAATGGGGGCACTGGCTGTGAGTCAAGGGGCGGGGGGGGCAGCAAAAACAACGCGAGATCTGGGGAGCGGAAGCGAGTATGGGGATCTCGTGTTCAG